CTAAGTCTTTCTATCAATAAGACCAAGTTGCGAAAACAATTTCAAACAATCTCTTCCTGTCCCATTGTGTATTTTACGGTTGTCACTGGTAAAAACGTATATTTTGCAATTGAAATCGACTATGCTACTCATATCCATAGAAAGTAAGTATAAAAACTAAGATTAAAATTTGAATAAGAGTTGCAGTCATTCCAAGGGGCACTAGGGGATAAAGGATTGCAGAGGAATTCTCCCACATTACTTTGACTCAAAGTTATGTCGGACTACCCGAATTCGATTTCACGCTGGGGGTAACGATGGCATGCAGCTGTGGCAAGGTAGAACTTGCCGTCCAATTCAGTTGGGGCGAGACTAACTTTGTAGACTATTGTGAAGTCCTTCATTTTGCGCCTGATAATGAGATTCGTGGGTCAATCTCACCAGAAGACGCCCAATGATTCGCATTTTATTGCAGCCATTTGGTATTGCTGCGACCTTTGGGTTGATAGAGTCCACGAGACATTCTTCAATTTTTGTGCGAAGACTCGATGAGCTTTCGTTCGTCGTGCCACAAGACGAACATCATCAGAATTGGAACTAGAGTTCCCACCAAATCAAAACGACTCAAGAAGTCTCATGACTTAGTTTTAACATGAGGCTCTTGCAAGAATGAATGTCTTGTGGACTGTGTCAACCCGAGGGTCGTATTAGTACCAAATGGCTCCGATACAATGTGAATCATTGGGCAACTTCTTGTGCGATTGAGCTACGAATCTCCTTATCAGTTACGTTTATATAAAAATAAAATTTTTTACAACAATCTTATCCCAGGAAATTCTTTGAAACCCGCATTTTCACCGTATATATATATCTTTTGGAGGCAAGGATAAGCAAAATTTAATGAAAAAACGAGGTCTACTTATCTGATTGTGGGAAATTTACCTCATTCCTTTGAGCGAACTATGCAGACTAAAGTACTTATATTAGAAAGTACTATTTAAACATATATGGTAATAAAGTTGAATACATTATGATATATTAAAAGGAGTCTTATTATAATTAATTGCATTTGCATTATAATTAGCATAAATAGCATAAAATTATACTAAATAATTATACTATTCGTCTACTTAATGTAATGCAAGTAATCAATCTCTTATAGTATAAATTACTTATAATTAAGTAAGTACTAATTAATTATATCATCGTAATACAATCAATTAATTTTAAGTAAACGTATAATTATTTAGATAATTAATTATATTTGATTAATTAACCATCCGCCCATTTGGCCTTTTTGTCGGTAGTTGATCAACTTTCCTGAGGGAAAACTAAGGCTTGATCACAATTTCTCTAATGAAAAGACATCAACTAGTGCATTGACATTTCTGCCAACTAGTATCTCGGCCCTCATAATCCTGGCGTTTCTAGGGCGTCCGTTGCTAATCTCACAAACTCGGACATTTTTCAGCGAATGTCAATTCAATTAAGAGCCTGTAGTGATCTGTTCTCTATAGCCAGTTGACTACAGTTGTCGACACAACCAGTACTGTTGTCAAGTTGAACTCTCCCAACACAAATGTAGTACTACTCAGCACATGACATATCTCCGCTCCACCTCGCGACGATACAGAAAATTTAATCACCGCATGGAGTGGGTCTTTTGAACCAATCAGAGCATCGCATTGAATGTAAACTAGAGTGCTTCAAGCCAGAAACTCTTCGGATAAGTGACTGTTCTCCTCCAATTCTCTCGTGTCATGTGATACTCTGTGGCCGAAGCATAATTCTTGCACCGACTTCACACTCTTGCATTGTCTTTGCTTTAAATGTTACTTCTTCTATTCTATCTACTGCATGACTTGTTTTTATTTATGAAATGCATTTGCCCCATTTCGTTTAAAGTGATGCAATTTCCTACAATTATTTGAGTTGACATGACTTTTCCAGTTCATTTCACACAACCTTGCTCGCCCACCGGTTCTCTTTACTCCAAACAGGGGTGGAATGCCGTTCCGACTGGTATCATTAGCAACCCTGGCGGGACTCGAACACATGTCTTGATTGTGCAACGTATAATCTCAACGCATAAGTTTGCTTCATCAACAATCTAAACACAGAATGTGATATGGAAACATGCTCAGCGATCGTTGTAATTCACATCTGCCTTCTGACCGAAAGGCACTCGTGGCAGTGGGGCAGAGTGGAAAACGAGTCAAGCCCACATGCTACACTGTCACGGTTCGACTCCCGCTTGGGGTGTTGATAAGATCCACGCGTGGTCGAGACTTCATTCCACTTCAACCGGAATGAGATCACCTTCTGGGCAAGCAAGACTATGTGAAATCTAATGGAAAACTACAGCTCTACTCATATGATTGTGGGAAAATTCGACTACCAGTCCTTGATCAGTTTAAGCCAAATAGGGTGAAGACAACTCACATAACTGATCAACTGTATGTTTCAAAATCATACTTGATTACTTTTTGCCTGGCGCATTAAATTGACTAAAAACCTTTATTGCGAAATCAAGCAAATGCTCCCAACTTCAATGCTGCATGGCAGCAATTGTTCAGGAAATTGGTATTTTGCTGAGCCGAAGCCTTAATTTTCAGCTTATGCCTCTGCACTTTGGGAACGCATTGGCGACGGCTGGGTCAAAGACCAAACAGCCCAACTGTCCTCTTCTCACGTACCTCTCTTGACAGTGTTTGCCGAAAAAGCCGGGTTCGCTGCAAGGTCGTTCGCACATCTCGCCCTGCCAACCAGGAGGACATTGGCACCGACCGGTTACAGGATCGCACAAGGCGTCTGGGTGGCTGCATTGACAAACTTGGCTGCAGTTGGTGCCAAACCGGTTTTGAGGGCAGTCTGAAATGGAGCAATTATAAAAAGAGTGTAGCATAGAAGCGCAGATTGCTATCAGAATATCTTGTCTTATCACCATTATTTGGCATGAACCGTTTATTCACACTACTTAGTCCTATATGAGTAGTGTGCTTTATCAATTGAAGTGCTAGAATGCAAAATGCACAACCTGCCTGAGTAGACTATACAGGCATTAAAAAGTAATGCAAATAATAACTGGATCTTGATGAGGCTCTTGAAATAACGTTGTCATAAAAACTTTCATTTTATCAAAAATTGCATTATGAATCGAATGGTTGGTAGGTGTCACGGGAAGACGACGGCTGATTCGTGTTATATTCCGACTGTATGGTGCAGTCCACAAGACGTCCTTCTTGTTTTGGGTGAAAACGGACTGAAACATTTACTCCTTAAGGCAATACTTATTTGTTTGGTTTACTTGATAATAATATCTCTTGAATGACACTATTTTGGCAGAGCCAGGCAAGCTGAGATCTTTTCACCTCTTCCACTCTTGCCGTTATACCTTCTTCCGAAGAAGATAAGCGAAATAGTGAGCAATTAAGGAATATAAAAAAGGAGAAGACTCAAATTGTCGACTGGGTCAGGCTTTTAAACAAATTCACACTCGCTCCACAGTTCCGTAGAGTTCACACACACAAAAAATCCTAC